GTGCCTGTCTGCTGTGTGGGGTAATGATGAGATGGTCCCCCCTGTGAGTGTGCAACAAGTGAGCAGCAGTCTATGTGCCTGTCTGCTGTGTGGGGTAATGATGAGATGGTCCCCCCTGTGAGTGTGCAACAAGTGAGCAGCAGTCTATGTGCCTGTCTGCTGTGTGGGGTAATGATGAGATGGTCCCCCCTGTGAGTGTGCAACAAGCGAGCAGCAGTCTACGTACCTGTCTGCTGTGTGGGGTAATGATGAGACGGTCCCTCCTGTGGGTGTGCAACAAGCGAGCAGCAGTCTACGTACCTGTCTGCTGTGTGGGGTAATGATGAGACGGTCCCCCCCCCTCTGTGGGTGTGCAGCAAGCGGTGTTGCTGATGTCTGGGAGGTCAACATGAAGGCGAACCACGGTCGTTGCTACTCCGTGCTTTGCTTTTGCGGGTTGCGGGAGAACGATATGGCTTTGGTCTCGATGGATTTAGCTTATTGTTATCTCTTTGCCTTAATTGGGGTTAAAAACACAACGTGATGACTACCGAGTGAATGTGTGGCTGAAGGGGGTGGTACCATTAATTTTGGCAACTTGACACCATTGAGAAATTTCTACTGATCATTTTTTAACACACGTTTTAATAAGTAGTTTCGTGACAAAAATCGGGTTCATGAAAGGTAATAGAGAAAAAGGTAGGTGCATTTTGTCTTTATATTTATAGCAGTAGTAGCACCAAATGCAAGGCAGGGCTTAAATCTCAAGGTAGGCGTGATACTGCTGGTAATTCTGCTTATCATGCCGAATTAGTCTGACAGGGAAAGCTTTTTGCCCTAACTTTGTTAACCAAGTATGTTTCTACACAAGTCAAGCATTTCAAAAATGAAATATGTAATATATGAAAGTGGAGCGCAAATAAGAATATATTTTGATGCTTTTATATAAACAATGTTAGAGCATAGTAATTTTTGCTAAGTGATTATACTGTCAAAAACACTAGTATTTCCATTGTATTTCCCGTAAGGTCGTCTGTATGTAAAGTTGTTGCTTAGAATAATTTAAGAGCCTAACAACTGAATTTCATCATCCTAGACACTCATACACGATTTCACGGAGCGATCGTACCCACTAAAATTCTCTTACCCGAACTTCCTTACCTTCTCTCACTAGAGCTAACTGAAACCAGTTAGAATCCCAGTGAGGGGTTAGAACACTTGCAGCATTTCACATTCACTTTCATTCGGCCGCACAACCAGCCTGCACATGTACGCGGCACTAACGCATCGCTCTTGTGTCTGCGCCCGCCACACAGGAGAAGTTTTCGAGCACGCCGGAGCTGATCGAACATAAGAAGATTCACGGGGAGTTTCCGTACAAGTGCCACGAGGAGGGATGCGAGACTGCGTGCAAGTTCCGCAATGAGCTCACTCTACACGTGCTCACCGTACACAAGGGCAAGGAACCATTGAAGTAAGCATTTATGTGTGCGAGGGGAGGGAGGGAGACTTTATTTGGGGGGAGAGAGGGGGTCATAGGCATCTGTGTGTGCAAGGGGAAGGCTTTTATTTGTTGATATGTTTGTGGTGTGTGCACACACATCTGTGCGAGTGCGTCTGTTGTTTCACAGGGGCACCAATGCGTGACAGCATGTGACAATGTGTGACAGTGTGTGAGTTGTTATTGTCATGCAGGGGCACGGACTGTGAGACAATGTGTGACAGTGTGTCAATGTGTGACAGTGTGTGACAATGTGTGACAGCGTGTGACAATGTGTGACAGTGCATGTGTTGTCATGCAGGTGCACAGACTGTGAGATAATGTGTGACAATGTGTGACAGTGTGTGTTGTCTCATGCAGGTGCACGGACTGTGTGACAATGTGTGACAGTGTGTGACAATGTGTGACAGCATGTGACAATGTGTGACAGTGTGTGTGTTGTCATGCAGGTGCACATACTGTGAGATGATGTTTGCCTACAAGAAGGACTTGGATAGACACGTCGTCAGTCACACAGGAGAGAGAAACTACGCGTGCAAGTACTGCAGCAAGACGTTCGCGCGAGATGTGCATCGCACCATCCACGAACGTACGTACCCTCCACCTACACCCGTCACCCACCCTGAATCGATAGACGCAGCAGGGGCGTTGCCACATGTAAGAGTTGGTGGGCATGGACTACCCAGTGATCTAACGAGAGCGTACCTATGATCACAGGTATCCACACAGGTGAGAGGCCATACCTGTGTAAGATCTAACGAGAGCGTACCTATGATTACAGGTGTGCACACAGGTGAGAGGTCATACCTGTGTAAGATCTAACGAGAGCGTACCTATGATTACAGGTGTGCACACAGGTGAGAGGCCATACCTGTGTAAGATCTAACGAGAGCGCACCTATGATTACAGGTGTGCACACAGGTGAGAGGCCATACCTGTGTAAGATCTGTGGCGAGCGATTTCGCGACATGTCTAACATGAAGAAGCACCTGAGGAGACACGTCACCGTGCGGCCGTATCGCTGCAAGCTCTGCGCAGACAAGGCTTTCTTCGAGAAGCGTTCTCTTAGGAAGCACTATAAAACCATGCACAAAGGTAGGACAGGTGTTCACCAGGTACATCACCAGGTGTTCACCTCATCAGGTCACCCCGCATCACAGTCTGAGTGCGCCTGAGTGCGTGCGTTCGAGCTGTTTAATCTCACAGTGTTAGTGAAGATTGTTGGGTTTTGCTTAGATTGCTTATTGGTTTCGTCATGTGTTCGTAATGATATAGTCTCATAGAATTCGTTCTACTTCACTCTGTACTCTAGTGCAGTACTATGGTATCTGTGAGTTAATTAAATTAATGACTCGTTACATTAGATGAATAGTAGGGAAGCCACTCCCACTCCGTTGCGTTTGGATCTGTCCGAGACGCGATAGGATTTCACGTCAGTCAAACGTGATCGAAATATCCATTAGAAAATGCAAATTAGTTTGTAGAATTGAATGCGTGGGTAGCAGGCGCCCCCTGGTGAGCGCGTGTGTGTCTACGCGTTGCAGACGTCGACGTGGGCGTCATCGAACCCGTCGGTCCCACGCTTCCCGCCAACTTTGGGGAACTGGTGAGAGGCTGTCGTACGGACCGGCTACCCGTCGCTGAGGTGGCGGCAGAGGGAGCGTCGGCAACCGTCGCCGCGGACGTTGCCGTCATGCAGGTGAGAGGAGGTGTGGTGAGCGTGTGAGGTGAGCTGTGAGGTGAGCTGTGAGGTGAGGTGGGCAACTTTGCACACGGTCGTGTATTAGTTTGGTTGCGCGGCGAATCGCGTCGTTGAGAATCGAAACGGGATCGAGTTCCGAGAACGGAAACGTCCTTTGCTGATCATGATCTGTCGTGTGTTGCAGACTGCCGCCGCCGCCGCCGCTGCTGTCTCTACAGAGCAGGTGATCATGCCAGCTAAAGGTGCGACCGCTCCCACTTGCGACCGCTGCAAGAAGTCGCTGGCGACCATCTACCTGATAGACAGCGAGAAGACGCAGAGATGTCCCAGTCTTTTCAGGTTAGTGTGAGGTTTGCGTGCGCGCGCGGGGGACGAGGGGTGGCGCCACCTTGTGTCTGCCAGGGGTTACTAACGGTTACGCGGACCGTCATGGTTAATGAGGGCGGGTTCGCGTGAGACGATGTAGATGCTGAGGTTGACGGGATGGTCAGGGGACAGCTGTGAGTGGTAGCGAGACTGAGTACTAGAGACTGAGTACTAGAGACTGAGTACTAGAGACTGAGTACTAGAGACTGAGTACTAGCTATCGTGTATGTGGCGATGGTTGAATAACGACATATTAAGACATGTCGGCGGTGATGGCCGTTACATGTCTATCGGTGTGAAGATTTTTGGCTGACGTGATGATCCCTATTATGAGTATTATTATTTTATTAATATTGTGCCTTTTTACATAAAAGCAGCACATCGATATCGCAAATGACTGAACAATAAAATGAAATGATAATAAATATGTACATGTGAGATATATATCGCTAACTGCGAGATGCATGATATTAAAACAAAGTTGACTATGTATAGTTGTTCTGATAATTTACTCACATTTCCTCTTCACAGATTTTTTTAATTTGTGTGATGATTGGTTGTTTTGTTGTTCTGATGATTAGCTTGTGTTTCTTCGTCACAGGTGCTCGAAATGTTACGAGGCAGAGAACACCACGAACCCACAATCGAAAGTTGTCCAAGTGAATCCACCTTCAGCAGGTAGGAAAGGGGCCGTCATGTCCCTCCTGTAAACTATCTACTCATGTCTTCTAGTGTAAACCTTGTTGCCAGTCGCCTTTTGCGTAAATATAGATTGTCCCAATAATAACGTTATTTTCTGTCTGGCGTACACCGCAAATATTTATTTGGTACTTTTAAGTCTGACGCAGCATTCACTGTAACAATGTTTTCGTAATAGCCAAGCTTTCTCCTAGCTATTGGGTGTATCATGTGTGCATTACAATAACAGATGAAGTAATCGTGCGTCTGATGCTAGGTGAACCGCCGCATTCTTCACCGACTCCGGCCATCGGTGACGGAACAGCCCCGCTCACGACGGAGAAATACTGTCGCGTGTGCAAGAGCTCGTTTAACAACGCGGGTGCTTACCGTAACCACATGAGCGTGCACAAAGGTGAGGTGAGAAGTTACACGTGTCACCTGTGTGAGGCAATCTTCAGTAGTGAGGAGGACGCCAGTCCGCAGGAGCGATACGCGAGCCTGCGGGCCCACTACGACACCGCACACCGCAGCAGTCACCTGAAGGTAGGCGCGTGTAGCGGGGAAAATACCTGTAAGGCGAACAGCATTATCTCGTCATATCTAAAATAAATTTTTATCTGTGTGCCTCGGCATATCTTACATGGTTTGCATATGTTAAAGGGTTTGTTAAGACCGCCCGAATGAATTATTTAATGAATTAAGCAAATCTCTGAGGACGTATTAAGTGAATTTTGACTGATTTATAGTGTGTCTTATGTGGCTTTGTAAATCAGGGACTGTAGCGCAGTAGGTAGTCATGGTTATTTTTGTTTTCAAACTGAAGCAGTTGCATCTGCATCTAGGCAGTGCCCTTGTCTCGGTGTTAATTGTTTGACACTTGAATAATTTAAACGGTTTCTTATTTGTATTCGTTAAACGTGCGTCTGATGTTTGTTGGTAGGTTACACAGCCAGAAACGTCGAATGCCTCTACACTGGATAATGATAGCAAGGATATAAGCACAACTATAAACACACGTTCACCGACCAGCATTACAATGACAAACGGCAAGGCAGAGATTCCAGTAGTTGGCGCCACCAAGACATCAGCCGCTACAGCGACTTCCAAAACCTGGGCGCCGCCACTCAAAACGACGCCCTCTTTTGTCAAATCTCAGTCGCGACACCAGGGGGCAGGTGCCCAGCACCCAACGCCGCAGATCGACAAACAGAAGAGCATCGCCTGCGACATCTGCCACCTGGTGGGCAACAACGAAGTGAGCATCGCAAAGATGCGTAAGCTTGTCTACTACGAGAACAATCACACGGAGTTCATCTACCGTTGCCAAGGCTGCGTCAGTCGCCACGGCGTCGGCAAGACAGCCGCAGCCGTCGCCGCCGGCAACCGCAGCCTCACGCTTCCCGCGCGGAACACGAGCGTGCTCGCGGACGTGCAGAACCGCCGGCAGGGGGCGCCGCCGCCGGACGACGACGACGATGCGGGGAGCATCAGCGCGCCGGCGGTGCGCGTGCAGATCTCGCGCGATCATCAGCGCGGCTCGCGGGGTTTCATCGCGCGTGACCACGGTACACAGACCGCCGGGCTGCTCTCCTGCGAGGTGTGCGGGGAGAGCGTGTCCGTGCGCCGGCACCACGAGCCGGGCAGGCAGGTGTGGCGGCTTGCGACCGCGTGCGGCGAGTGTCGACGCGAGTGCGCGTCTCCCGGCGCCCTCGCCTCCCACGCACGCCTCCACGACGCCGAGTCATCGCTGCATCCGTGCGGCGTGTGCGCGGCCACCTTCAGCCACGCCGGGCTGCTGCTATACCACGAACGCACCGCGCACGGTGGCGGCGCGCGGCGGCGGCGGCCACGCCCGGGGTTCGAACCGGTCACCGACGACGATGACGACGACGTGGGGGAGGCGCGGTGTGGGTTGTGTCGGCGAGGATTCGCGAGCCAGGAGGCGCTGCAAGAGCACGCGGCGACGCACGCGGGAGAACGCCTTCTCTACATCGATGTGCGACCGACCGACCGACACCCGTCCCTCGCTGCTCGCAAGGAGAACCTACACCCGGGGGAGGGATCCCCGCTCAAGGAGGAGGGTGGGGGACGGGAGAGGACGGGGGAGGAACGGAGGCGGGAGCGCGTGGAGGCGAGGTGCAGGGACGTGGCGAGGGTAGCGAGGGAGGAGCTAGAGGAGGAGGGTGTGGATCTCAGCGAGCGTGACTGCCAGCGCATCAAGAGGCTCCTCCTAGAGACGGCCGGACTCGTAGATCGCGACCTTCCCGCCGACCTCCTCAAGATGTCCGCCAGGACGTCGGCGGCGGCATCGCGACGGACGAAGCCGGTGGCGGCGGCGGCGGGGGGCGGGGGGAGCCGGCGGGGCGTGATCACGCTGGGACCCGGAGGCACCATCAAGGCCGTCATGTTTCCACCGTCGGTGGGGGCGGCGGCAGTGGTGGGAGGCTGGAAGGTTAGGCGGCCGCTGGCGAGTGTGCTGAAGATAGGACCCCCGCCTCTCGCTCCGATCGCTCCGCAGCCGCAGAAAGCTGCGTTGCTGTCAAACGTCTCCGGTAAGTCAGCGAGCGCGATCGCGAAAGCCGAACCGACGAAGGTGTCAGTGCAAGCTCCGACAGCCGGCGTCTCCATTCCACCGCCATCATCGTCGCTACAGGTCACGACGGAGGCTTCAACGACGGCAGCCACCACCACCGATCTCTCGACGATAACGCTCCTGCCACCAACAACATCCCGCGCGTCGTCAGCGTCCGGGCCGCCGGCGATTCCCACCGCCGACGCCGTCCACAAACCCGCAGCAGCGGCGTCCTGCGTCGTCGTGGCAACGCCAAAATCTTCCTCCTCTACAACGACGACTATGCGGCGGCAGCAGACGAAGCTGGTGGAGGATGTGTCGTTCTCGGGAAGCCCCGTGAAGACTTACCCCGGTAAGAAGACTCCGCCCGTCGAACTGATATGCGAGGGGCGTCGCGGCGGCGGCGCGGCGGCAGTGGAGAGACCGCCCGCGCAGCGCGGCCGGAAACGCAAGCACCCGCTACCAGCGCCTCACCCCACCTCTCCCAAGCAGCAGCCGCCGCCGCCTCCCACGCTGCTACCCACCTCTCCCAAGCAGCCGCCACCACCAGCGCCGCACCCCTTTGCTGTCAGTCAGCCAGCGACGCTGAGTCAGGTGACGGCACGACGATCATCACGCTCGACGCCGAGTCAGTACAGGAAGGTGGTCGTCGCCGTGGAGACGGCATCGCCGGCGCGCGGCGCGACGCGGCCACCCTATGATGACGTGGATGTATCGCCTTCGGCTGCCGATGCAGACACAGGTACAAATAATATTAACTCAGGAAATGCGTAACGGTATATATATATAAAATTACGTTTAATGAAATTCTTTGTAACGATACCTTCTGGTGCAATTTCCCTGTCAATGACTTAATAATTGTAACTTTAAGAAATTCGTTTTGCCATGTGCTGTTGCACAAAAATTATACACAAAATTCTTCTTCTATAGGCCCAAGGCATGTTTTATTAATTATTATAATAATCACATTTTCACTAAAATCGTTACTGAATATTTATTCACGTGCTCGTGCAGTGAGTTTCATATGAAACTTGAGTGCTTTGCAAAGATGACCGTGCTCTCTGTAACATTTTTATTCATATTTTGTCATAATGAAAAAAATCGTTTACAAAGATGAGCAAATATACGAAGAACATGCTCTGAGTGAAACATTTATTACTATTTTGTGATAATAAAGTTTCTGGTTCGTTGCAGAGGGAAGAGCAGAAGGGTTGAAGTCTTCTATCTAGACAGCTTGGCAATGGTCTCTCGCTGACACATGGCGCTACCTGGTGTCATTGCTCGCACGATGACTGCCTCCAGAAAACTAGCGGGAAACGCTGGAGACATATGAATGGCCATCATTCAGGCTGCTGCAACTTCGTCGCTATAATGGGAGCAATAATCTCGACTGTAGGGGTGTGGCATCACCTCTCTCAATGGTTTCCATCCCAGTTGTCATCCCCAGAGGTTTAAACACGCGGATGATGGATGACAAGGGATGGTTCCCTGCATAGTGTGGTGCCATCCAGGTGTTGAAACTTAAAGCTTACGTTTGTATTGCTATTAGAGCAATGCAGAGGGAGGGTTGCGTTTGGGCGTAAACGCTATTTAGATGAACAGGGAAGGCATCTGGTTTGCCAGATACTGGTGTAAGACATTTGGTTTCCCACCGCTAGAGTCGGTGATGATAGTAGATTTTTGGGACGTCGTGATGTGTACTCCATTGTGAACGGTGTGTTTGACCCAGTTGGGCATTGTAGTCATAGTGGCGGTTTAAGGTTGACGCTGTTCCCATGGAAACTATTATTCCGGTATATATAATAATGTAAAGGTATTATCGTAGCTGTCCATTGAGCCTTAGTAGTGTCACGGTACCTATGTATTATATTGTACTATGTAACTATTATAGAGTTGTTACCTTACATGTTCTGCCTTTACGAGGTAATGTACGTCCGGATGTATTTAAGAAATATCTACGTTGATGCATTTTATAAGCTACTCAGTTTTGTTCCACGTGTCATTGTGAAAATTAGGTTAACAGTGTATGAAAAGTGTATTGATGTTTTTGTTATATAATCCAGCTATATTAAAAACACTATCATGTAACCTGTCTCAGCAAAAATCAAGGCAACTATTAATAAATGGCTGAATTGAATTTTGTTTTAACAAGATATATTGTTTGTATTTCATTTTTAAAGTTTGCATTTCATTCCTAACTCCGAAATGGCTTGCTACTGTGGTAGAAGCACGCACTGTGAATAATATTATTAGTAAATAATAAATGATGCATTAGTAACACCAGCTTACAGTACAGGGAACCCACAGCCCTTGAAAGTCCATGAATTTTTCCGGTTGTCATTGAAAGTCCTTGGAAATAGGTCCAAGTCCTTGTAAAGTATTTGAAAAAACAATTCACACTTGTGGGAACCATGTACTGAGTACCTAGCAGTAATAATGTACCCTATAGAATCAACCATCACGAAAAAACCAAGAAAATACCAATAATACCTTTTCATTTAGTATGCGTGCGTGCGTACGTTCGTGCGTGCGTGCGTACGTGCGTGCGTACGTGCGTGCGTACGTTCGTGCGTACGTGCGTGCGTACGTGCGTGCGTGCGTACGTGCGTGCGTGCGTGCG